TCAATTTGTCCCCAGAGCACTTTCCACCTTTGAACACACCGAATCACTTATTTAAACTTTGGTCTCGCTGCCTAGATGCACTTTCCAACATACCCAAGCAGAGGTCCTTGTTTGCATCGTGTTATATGCCATGCACTCTAGGCTAGCATATAAAATCTACGAGGTACTCAGTTGTTAACATTGTTGAATGAATAAGTGAAGTCTGCATACAAACTTTAAAAAAAAAAGTATTTACTAACAAGTTTCTATCGTAAAATGAGCTGTGATCAACAATGAATCCATATCCTAGAACAATTTTTACTTACGGATGTATGTTTTAAATAGATACATCATCCAAATAATACAAAAACTGGGGAAAAATAAATGAACGAACACTGGCTCACTGAACCGAGTTAACCTTGTTCTCAAGAGAAAGTTCATTTGAGATTAGACAAGTTCAAAGTCTGTGAATCATAAAGCAATTGAAAAAAACTAAACAGGAAATGATGCTTTTTATGAGCCCTGCCAAGAGTGAAAAAGTAACTTTTAAAGATAACGTATTTATATCAGGGATTTCTTAGTGCTGATGTCTGAGGTAAAAGGTTTGCCTATAAACTAAGATAAGAAAGAAATAGACACATACTAGGTTTGCTACAACTGAATATTAATTGACTATCTAAGGAAAGTTGCTTTAGGCGTCTCCTGAGGGCAAATTTACTAAGGGTATAAGAAAACTATATTATTTATTTATCAAGATTTTTGTGACATGGGCCATCTCTGTGTCCAGGGTGACTTTGAGCTGTTTGGTTTTTTTGGTGATGTTGTTTTGTTTGTTTTTTGAATTTTGGGTTTTTTTTTTTTTGGTGTGTGTGGGGGAGGGACACACACACACACAGAGAGAGAGAGAGAGAGAGAGAGAGAGAGAGAGAGAGAGAGAGACAGACAGACAGACAGACAGAGACAGAGATTCTCTGTGTAGCCCTGGTTGTTCTGGAACTCACTCTGTAGATCAGGATAGCCTTGGACTCAAAAATTTGCATGCCTCTGGTTCCTGAGTGCTGGGATTACAGGCATCCACCACCACTGCCCAGCAAGCTTTGAACTCTTGATCTTGAGTTTACCTCATAAATACTACAAGTGTACACAACCAAGCTCATATTTCATTTCGAATTGAAACTCTTAATTAAATTACTCACTAGTATATTAACAAAGGTAACAAGACAAATACCCCACCCGAGAATGTAACCATGCAGGTACTGAACAGCTGCTTCTTCATCAAAGAGTTATTTTTAAAAAGGGGAATTTGAGTTTCAAGAAAAATGATTTTTCCAGTGTTGAATAAATATAACTTACACAGTCTCTTGTCAGTTGCCCAAACTACTCTGGAAACTAATATGTGAGGATCAATGGAACCAAGGAGTTTGACATTGAAAGACCAGAGAGCCTTGAATTCAGGGGCATCATATTTACTTCCAGTGTCTTTCAGGGCCCCTTTCAGGCAATACTGAGTCTCTACATTTTACTCTTTTCTTGCTGTCTATTGGTCATCTTTATTAGGAAGTGTACAATAGCACATACTTTATACTGGCCATTTTTTAAAACTTGCCCTATTTGTTCCTCAGAGATATAGATCCTTTACTGTCTCTGGTTTTTACAATGTTGAAGTCTATGCATTGAGAGAGTGAGTAACTTTTCCAGCAGTAAGTAATGAAATTGGATTAGGCCTTCCTTAGCCCACTTCATTCTCATCCCTCCCCACCCCCGCTGCAAAAAAAAAAAGTAAAAACCTTAGTCCCTTAGTCCCTTATTCTCTCTTCTGTCAGTCACTTAAAAGAGGGTTTAGAAGACAGTGCCTCCTGGGGTTGGGGATGGGGGCTGGAGATTCTAATGGAGTTTGAAGGATAATAGTAGAGGATGGTGGAGAAGATGCTTGGTGGTGGGAGAGTCCCCAGAGCTCCCTAAGGATGGTGTAGGCAGGTGACCTACTAGTTCAGCTTTAGTAAGCTGTCGATAGGACTACACACCCTTAGCACATGGTATTTTTTTTCCTGAGACAGGGTTCTCTGTCCTGGAATTCACTCTATAGACCAGGCTGGCCTCAAACTCAGAAATCCGTCTGCCTCTGCCTCCCAAGTGCTGGGATTAAGGGCGTGTGCCACCACTGCCTGGTGCACATGGTATTTTTAAAAAGATATGTGTTCTTTACATAAGGCACAGATAATAAAAGAAAACCCATTCTCATATAAAATACTAATAAGTATCAAATTAAAAGTAAAGCTAATTTGGAATAGGCGAAGGGTAGAAATCATTCCTGCCTAGAATGTGTTAATAAATCACTTAATTTTAAATTAAATTCTTTGTTATTGCCATTTTACCCGAGCTTCGATTATTGAACTATAGGTTAAATGATAGCAGAACAGCCTGTTTGAAAATTACCAAATTCAAAAAGTTAGGTTTTTTAAGTAAAAAAAAATACATTTATTTATTTGTTTGTATGAGTTCATACAAAGGTCAGAGGACAACATGGGAGAGTCTCTTCCATCACGTGTGTCCTGAGAAATCAACTTACTTTGTCAGCCTTGATGGAAAGTACCTTTATGCAGTGAGAAATCTTGCCAACCCAAGAGCTGGGAGTTTTCTAATGTAGGGTTTAAAAGGCAATCTGGTGGTGTAATCTACCTGAGCTTGGTATAGTCATTCAATGTCCTTGCCATATGTCCTTCACACATAAAATTCAGTTATGCATAAATGGGTGGATGCTGTAATACTGTGGCTTTTTTATTGTCAGCACAAGTGAATCATTTGATTTGCACTGATCCTGTTATAGTTTTTCTCAGCCTCAAGTCAAATAAGTTCATCAAGGTGTTTCTCTTTTAGGATGTATTACATTTGGATTTATAGTAGGTAAAATATATACTATTTATAGTATATAGATGCGTTAGAAATAGAGAAAATTCTTATAGGAATCATGGAAAGAGACACAATTCACAAGAAGGTTGTAAGAAGAAGAGCTGGAATGATTAGAGATCTTAGGAGAAAGCATGTTAGCTTTACATCACTGTGACAAAATATCTCAGAGAAACAAAATCAAAGAAGAAAAGGTTAGGCTGAGGGAAATAGAGCATCATGGCTGGGACCAGGTGGCAAAGCACCCTTGCTCATGCCTTGGCAGACGCAGTGGAAGGAGACCAGGGCAAGACCTAATTTCTCAGGACAGACCCCCAAACTCCCCTTGATTTAAATCCTACCTTCTAAAATTCAGTTAAATCCCAATAGTCCACCACAGTAGGAACCCTTCAGTGGACCCATCCATTGATTAGGTCAGAGCCCCATGACCCAAACACTTCCCTAAAGCCCAACCGCTAAATCCTACTGCATCGAGTCTAAGTCTTCAAAACTGAGAGATTTACATGTAGAAAAACAGAGAAACAGAGTGCCAACAGCAACAACAACAGCACCCGAGAGGTGCAGTGATTAGTTGAAATGAATTGAGCATGGATGTATGGGGGACATGGTTTAAAGAAGAGAGGTAAAAAGTCAGTAGAAAGAAATACTATGTTACAATCCTTAATACCAAGTAAATTATTAGATGTGATATAGTTAGTGGCAGGGGTCCATTGTAGCTTTTCTCATGTTGAATCCTAAGATGAAGTCTCATGAGACTAGAAAAGGTAGGGAGTAATGTACTATAGTCATAGTCTGCAGTGTAGGGTGGTTATGGGTAAAGGTATGATCGTACGTGCCTGTAATCCACACATTCCAGAGACTAAGATTGGAATACTGACAGCTCACAACCAATTTGGAAATATATATCGAGACACTCCTTATCAACCCACCCCCCCCACTCCCCAAAAAAGAAGGAAGGAAAGAATAAAAGGGGGGTAGTTATGAAGACACTTTCAAGTCCTGGGTCTGATGCTTACCTGCTGTGTGGCATTTGACAAACAATGTAGACCTGTTTCCTTTGTTGGGACTAAGAAAAACAAAAATAGTAACAACCTTATCAGTTCCTGTGGGGATTAAATGAGTGTATCCTTTTGAAGTGCTTGGTACAGTTTCTCATATATGACCAGTGCTTAAGAAATGCTATTTAGTATTGTTCCTTCAAGTGTGTATGGAACCAAATATAGGAGAGATGAGATCTCTAGAGTTGGAAGAGTAGGTGCTGTACATGAGCACAGCCAAATAGAAAAGAGAATGCCCCCCAAAACTAGTGACTTATTAGAAAGTCTGTAACAGTATTAGTTTTTTTTGTTTTTGTTTTTTTAAAATCAATTACACGTCTCCTCCTGAAAGAGTCAAAACAAGGACATTTTTGGGTAAAAGGTAGAAAAACTATGGTCTTGAAATCTATCAAAGGAAGAAGATACACTTTCACACTCTGCAGAAGGAATGAAAGGATTTCCTTTTTCCTCAATACTTGCAGCAAGTCCAGAGACATAGATGTAAGTCAGATACTGCAAATTAGAGGTTACAAACTAGCTCTGCTGTACAAGAGAATGAAACACTTGGAGGAGTTAAAACTGATCTGTGAATCTGAACTGGAAAGTCTGCAGTTACTTCTGGTCAGTTTGAAGAAAATCTCAGGAAGAATATAAAATGTAAACACAGAAAGGAATAGCCATTAAAGTAATGTGTTAAAGTTATGCTTAATAATCCCAGTTGAACTGTAAGAATTTCAAATGCCCTTGAAGAACATGGACATTGGTTTGAGTATTTTTAAATACCATTTTTACACTGAAATACTCAATTTTATATACTGGAAATTGTCCTCTTTCTGGTTTGTTCTGTTTAATAAAAGAGATAAGCCAATATACCTCAGGAACTGTGAAATATACTGAAGAAGCGCTCCTGCATGGAGGTTCTCTTATCGTTTTCAAGAGCGCTTCAGAGAAGAGAAACTTACTGACAGGCAGAGTCTGTACCCATGGTTTAATTGGCTATTAGATGTTATGAATAGAGTGCGTCCTTTAACTTTGCCATATATAGAGAGCCAAGCACAGATCTACAAACACACAACTCTTTATACAGACATGTGCGTGGCCATGTGGAGATGCGACTCTTATGAGCGTGTCTCTGACGATTCGGGGATGTGAGTTTGTCTAATTGACCTTTGTGAGGGGAAACCAGACTGCACATTTCGTCTACAAATCCAACCTGTTTCGCAATTTCGCCAGCAATAATATTTGAGTCAAGCTGGGCCGGGAGCTGGTTAACCTCCTGGTCATTCCTCACTGGCTGGGCGGGACTGCGCCTGGGCGTAGGTTGAGCACACTAAGTTTACTCTCCTGTCCTCAGGAAGCCAGCGCGCAGTCCAGCAGCGGTTTCCAGGAGCTGACTCCATCTTCAGAGGCTCTGCTCAACTCAGAGCCGCTGCTTCTTCCAAAGCCTACATCTTGGCGGACTTTGCAGAGGAAACTTGGGGGTAGAGACACGTGAGGTAGGCATTTCCTAGGAAGGGTGGGATGCTCCGGATACCTGAGCCTGGTCCGGGTGGTAGGGTCCTCGTGAGTCCGTGGGCAACAAGTAGCGACAGCCCCAAGTCGCACCAGGAGCTCCCGCAGCAGCCCCCAGGCCGGTGTTTTCTGCTCTAGCCCCGCGCTTGGATCCCGCTCCGCGGCTGGGCAGCAGGCCGCCTGTGGAGGAGCGCGCCGGGGCGGAGGGGACCCAGCAGGGCAGGGTGGCCCGATCCAGAGTTGAGAACCCGGTCCACGGGGGTGACACAGCTCCCCGGGATTCCCTGGGGTGAGTTACCTCCAGGCCCGGCCCAGGAGCATCAGGGCGGGGCTCCTCCTAGTCGCTGGGCTCTGCAGGACAGTGAGCTCTGCCTAGGCTCTGGTTCTGCGTTTGGTTAATGAGCTGTTTTTTCTCCCTAGGTGGTGATGGAACTTGACGAACACCTTTATGAAAGCACAGACGAGAACTTCTCAAAGATGGGCAAAAAGAGGTAGTCAGATTGTTTCACTTTCGTACTTTACAAGTCTTGTACATTCGGGCCAATTAGTTTGTAGCCTCCAGCACTGTACTAAATGATTAGTGGGTGTTATTTCAGCCTTCAGAAACACAAACCAGCCTGTGGAAGGAACTCCTCTGCTTGGAGCAGTCCTGCAGATGTGTGTGACAGATCGATGCTTCTGTTCAGTCTCTAGACCGGCCATTGCTCACATCCTTTTAGTTTTATGACTTCAGCTTTATGAGAACTGTTGATCGCTCAGGCAGCCGAGCCGTATGCTGCTTGGGCTCTCGCTGTGGCCCATTATCTTGTTTTTAATAAAGCAACCATAGATAATCATGATTGTGGAAGAAGGAAAAGAAGTCCAAATTATATTTTTGGTTAGCTCTCAATGACTATTTCTATATAAAAAAGGTTGTATTGCCACAGAAAGAAGCCACATCTTATATTCGAATCTCTGTAAAGGCTAGTGAATAGAACTTCAGTGGTGGGGAGAGGTAAGAATGTTGAAAGGAACCTACTTAAAGGTTATCACAGGCAATCTTCAGCCCCCATCATGCCCTTATTATCAGCCTACCTCTATGTCTGTGACCTGACATTCCTGTGACTCTTTTAAGTCTTTGAGGCTGTATTAAGCAAATAGATCACAAGCTTTTGTTAACCGACAAGTTAAGAATGTCATCAGATAGTGTCTGAGGCCGCAAGCAGAGGTAACTTACTTACTTATGAACCCACCAAACATGTCAGAGTGTGCTGACTTATGACATTAGAATTCATTTCAGTCCATCAAAAGGGAGAGGAGAAATTCGCTCTCCAAGCAACAGGTCTGGTTTCTAAATACCATTGCTCGTGAAATGCCACCATCTGTGCTCAGTTCGAAGGAGATACAACCATGGGACCCCTTTGCCAGTGTCACAACACTGTGTCAGAAAAGCCAGTGTCACAACAAAAGGGGGATTTCTAAATTATGATAGTAAAGAAACATAACCAGCAAATGTGTTATGTGAGCTCCATCTAACTCAGAGTTCAGTAAAGAAAAAAAAAGCAAAAACAAAAAAACAACAGAAAGCACACTTGGGAACTCTGTGGGATGAGTTTTAAATAATCTCAACATTGAGGTTATGTTTCTTAGATTTGATAATGATAGTGGAATATACGAATACTATAATATTTCCAGTTTAATAGTTTGGCAGAATCTTAACAATTGATACTATGTACTGTTTGCATGGATAAATACTGTCAAATGTCATAATTTATATTTCTAGGTGAATTATATACTAATCCTTACATTTTCCTACTATTTCATATTTCAGTAATAAAAACTTTCTATAACAAAGGAAGACACATTGTGGAGGGAAGGTAGCCTAATTTTGCCTTTAAAAAAATCATTTCAAGAACTGTGTCCATCACAGACACTTAGACATTTGAGTAAGTGTGAAGCTATGTGGAAGGGAATGGTAGTGTCCAGTCCTGCACAAATCTTCATTTTGGTACTGGCATGCTATCATTCCCTACAGATTTTAATTCAAACAGGTTTTTTTTTTTTTTCTGTAAGAATTGCTCGTCACCACTGGTTTTAGGCTATTGTCAATACTCATGTTTTATAACATAAGGATCATAGTGAAGGATTTAGTTTGGTTGACAGGCAATGCTGGAATAATAATACTCCCTGGACTATATGAATCTGCGTACATTTTTTTTGTAAAAATGATTTGTCGAGTTTGTTTGTTTTATGGTACTGCAGTTCAAAACCAAGGCCCTGAGCTCTATATAAGTGTTCCAAAGTGATGTCTGAGAATGTATCTTGCAGTTTGGAGGTTATTCCTATAACTCGGAGTTTAAGACTTGGGTTTTGTCCCAGCTGTGGGACTTCACTCTTCTGCAGTTTTCTCCTCCCTGAAAGAAAGATGCAGTTTGCCTTCCTCGGAATTGTTTACAAATTGTGTGAGGAACGCTTACTTAGTGCCTGCGATCTTTTTATAACATCTCCAAGTAGCACCAGTTTTAGAGAATGGAAAAGAACTTCGAAGTAAAATTCTGCCATTTATAGTTATTTCTCTCTTCACATCCTGCTCTCTGGGATACTGACTGGTCCTTTACTGGGATAGGGTGGAACCAAACATGAAGATATTGCTGTATAGTCTGTCCCGTGTCCATCTAACATCAAGCCAAATATAAAAAAAAAAGCACTGACAGTTTTCTTTAGAAAGCTTTTTATTAGCATGGAGAAGATGTTTCTGTCTGTAAAAGGCATAAGCATTTGAGTGCTAGCCACACACACAAAAAAATACATTTAAAAAGCCAGACATGCCATCTGTGCCTAGGATACTAAGGGTTGATGACCCACAAGTCTAGCCATTTGAGCAAGATCCAAATTCAGTGAGCATCTGAAAAGAATAAAGCAGAGAGTGATTGTGACAGCTACTGAATGTTGATTTACTTTAATGTTATTTAGTCAGAAGAAGGAAGAAGACAAATATACTTTCTGAACTTAAAAATACTTGTAAACATATGGCTTTTCTTTTCTAACAGTGTTTATACACAAAGAAATAAGACTCATTATGGTTAGTTTGCTTTTACATCCTAGGTGGCTGTTGCACGGAGTGAAAATGGGCTAGTGTGACATTTGAATCTGGGTTCAAAATGAGAGCTGACCCCTTGTGTCTAAGGACAGCTTTCTGACTGCTTACAGAGCATCTTTTCTCCATTGTATTTCTTTCTGTAATGGTTCACTTAGTGCTGCAGATATCCTTTCTCAATTAGATTTCCTTACAGGGTGATTTAATTACTCGGTTTCTTAGGCTAGTTGTATTCAGCATCTGATCATCGCTGAGTTTTATTAGGAAAGGGAATGATTCAGAATAATATTCAGTCTACAGATACGACATATATTGCTACAATGACTTAGATAATAGTCAAAATGACCAATCTTAAAAGCATAAATTATTTCATAATTAGAATAAAATCCAAAACATCCTTTTTGGAGTGTTTTTTCCTCATTGTAAAGAAGTGTGTGTCTGTGTGTGTAAGGAAAATTAAGACAGATATTTTTAATATCTAAGGTACAAGGAATATAAAATATCCCAGTTCTCATTGATAACCAGATAAGTAGATTTCTAAGATATATTTAAGCCATATAAATGTCATATCATTATGCTTTCATTGACTAATATAGACATGGATTTTGTCTTGTCATTTAACAAACTCTCTGTAAATTGATTTAGCAATTGTAAGACTTTGTATAAGGTTTTTAAAGTTTCATGTAATTATTCTGTTCTATTTTAAGTAAAAAGGAGAAGAAAGAAAAGAAACCAGCAGTCAGTGTGCTTACAATGGTGAGTTTTTAATGTACTACCTTCTGATGTCAATCCTTCTGTCCCCTAGAAAAGAGATAATTCATCTAGAACAATATTTTCTTAGAGACTTAGGGAGATAAAGATAACTGATTAGAGTTCTCCTATTTTCAAAGAAAGGTGGCTTATTATTTGACAAGTGAGTTGTGATTTAGCAGACACCCCTTCCTGCCTAGATTTCTATATTATTCTTATGAGGTACATCTTTGATCTATGGCCTCCATAGGCATCTTTCCTTGTAATGTTCTTTGCCATCTAGCTTTGAGAGATGGGTATATTGTATGACATTTTTAATGCCCCTTAACATCCTGATGGGGTCAAAGTTCCAAGTACTTAGTATAATAAAAGGTAGCAATGGATTATTTATTATTGTGATTTAGTATATGCCATTATTCTTCTGTGCTGAATAGCTGAAAATGTAGAGCTTGAAAGAATTACATAACCATTTAGTTTTCTGGTTGCAGGCTGACTGTTCGGAAGCTTTTCTTTAAACTCACTTGGAATATAATAGGAATTTTATAGGCGTGGCTATTTTTTAATGATTTCTATTTCCTCGAACACTTCCTCTTTTCTCAAACAATTGAGTCCGGCTTTTTATAATCCACTCTTTCCACACTGGTCATGTTATGAAGTGCGGAGGACAGGAGGAGTGCCATGTAAAATGCATCTTTGTACGTTCATTATAAAGTTAGATCTAGGTAGGAAAAATAGTTTCCTGACTTGCAGTGAGGACTCTGGTTATCTTGTGTCATCTGCATCTTCTTCTGATAATGTTTATTCTTGCTATGGTTCCTTCATTACTTGTCTCCACTCTTCTTCTTGACCTTGTCATTATTGTTGGTGGTGGTTTTACTTTGAAAAAGAAGCTTATGTATCTTGGCCTCTAATTCCCTGTGTACTTGACAGGGACCTTGATTTCCTGATCCTCCTGTGTCTACCTCCAGAGTGCTGGCAGTGCCAGCCTGCTGCACAGGTCATCACAGTCAGAATTCTTTTTATTTTAGATTTTATTCTTCTTTTTAAAGAGTTCACTCTTAGACTCTTGCATGAGAAGAAAACTTACTATGTTAGAATTGAATTTTTTCTTCAAATTTAATTTATGCAGTTACCTTAATACAAACATAGTTCTGTCTTATTGTTTAGGTTATTGTTGTTTTCCTGTTTGGTTTGGTTTGATGCCAGAGGTCTACTCAGGGCTCTTGTGCTCAGAATACCAGAAGATTGCATCTTTATCTCTGTGCTTTACTGATTGTTTCTAGGTAATAATTTCTTAGAGACTCGAGGATTATTTTATGTTTCAGGAAATATACCCTAACTACTATGCAAAGTTACTTCAGTCGATGCTCAATTCGAGCCATACCAGAGAGGGGGGGAGGAAGGGAGAGAGAGAAAGGGAGAGAGAGACAGACAGAGACAGAGGACAGAGACAGAGAGAGACAGAGACAGAGAGAGACAGAGACAGAAAGAGACAGAGACAGAGAGAGACAGAGAAAGAGACACAGAGAGAGACACAGAGAGAGGACAGAGACAGACATACACACAAATTAAAGTTTGAATGTGAAGTAGTGATAACCTCACACGTATAACAATATACACTAGACATTGTTATAATTACTTCCCACACAAACTCATTTAATCCTTAAGCTTTATTTTGAGGGAGATACTATTATTACAGGTTTACAGAAGAAACAGGGCAAGTATCTTCTTGCCCCCAAATACCTACTAAGGTGAGAATAAATGAAATGTATTTAAGTCTTTTGACTAAGTGCTGTAGTTCTTAAGTGTTGTTCTAGTTACACTGATGAAAAGCTGTGTGTGGAGGAATGGGTCCATTTCATACTGCAGGTTATAGTCTACCTATGGGGAAGACATGGAAGGAGCTTAAAGCAGAAGTATGCTGGAAAGGCTCTGAGAGCCTCCTTCTAGGCTCACATACTTTTCTTATACAGGCCAAACCCACCTCTCCAGGGATGCTATTTCCCACAGTGCGATGAGTCTTCCTACATCAATTACTAATCAAGAAATTGCCCTACACATAGGCTCATAGGCCAATCTGATGGAGGCAGCTGTTCAATTATGATTCCTTCCTCAGATATGTCAAGTTGACAACCAAAATTAGCCAATATAGGTGTCTTTCTCTTGTCCCAAAGAGCTGATATGGAAAACTGGACCATAACCTCTACATAAAACGTATAAACACAGAGATATAGTCAGAAGGTTTTAGGGTAAATTCTAATACTATTGCAATGCTTTTGAATACCTTCTGGATAAGAGTAAAACATGTGTATTAGGGGTTTCAAAGAACTCTGAGACTAATGACTTACTAGGGGAACCCAGAACTCAGGATGTTTCCATAGTCACACCTAAGATTGACTTTATTCAATTAGCAATAATAATTCTCAGATAAACCTCATTGGCTATGACAACAGCTCTCTGAAATGCTGCACCTAAGTTTTATTTTAGCAATAGGACAAAAACAAAGTCAGTAATGGCGAAAGTCACATGGAGTGAGGTTCAGAAGAGATGGGACACAAGCTCCCAGAGTTACCTGTTCAAAACATCCATCTCCCCACCCCCACCCCCACCCCCATACTTGTACCCCCCACGTACCCCCCACCCCAGCAAGGAGATGCAAGTTGTAACAACAGATTCAAAATGATGCTCGCCTGTGGAGAGCTTTAGTCACAGAGCCAAGATTCTCACTGGCAACTGATCATTAAGGAACTCCTACCCAGCTGGTACCAAAATTGTAGATTCATTCATTCAGTATATTTCACACTGCAAAGTGGTCACATTTACCAGTTACAATTTACCAGTTACAATTTACCAGTTACAACCAACCAACTAAGTGATTCTCTCTAAACATTTCTGGATTCTTTCTGCTCCCAAAGTTCACTTATGTTTACTAGGGAACCTTAGCTGTCTTGAGGAAATGGTTACAAAGCAAACAACTCATGCACATTTTTATGCTAGTTTTCTTTTTGTGTCAGGCCTCATTTTAGTTTAGAAACTCAAATGTAGGATAAACTCAAAATGAAGTGGGGGAAGCTGGACAGCGGAAGTAAAAGCAGGAAACGTGCAAATTGTTTGTGATTCCTTTAAAAAGAACTCCTCAAAGTTCACACGCCCTGTTAGCAATTTTATGCAGATTTAACCCTGCACTATCTACATTATGCACCATATTAGCTGTCATCATTCTAAACACATGACAGCACTCAGCGTCAGGAACCAGTCCTTTGTCAGGATCTTACATGCATTATCTGATGTTTGAACTCCTCTTAACCTTACTCATAGCTGGGTAGAATGCATACTAAAAAGTTGAGTAATGTACTACAATTTACAGTGACATAACTATTATAACAGAAGGCCCAACTTTTGCCCAGCTACATGCATGGCTATTACTTTTAAAACTGTAATCGTTTGTATAGCTTATGATTGGTTAAAATGTAACCTCCCTGAAGCTGAAGAGTTCTTTGTTAACACTGTTATCTTACGACCATCTGGTCATTGAAGACGTTGCCGCCTGGCTTAGTGTCTTCTTCCACTCTTGATCTCCTTACTCACCTTTTATTGTTATATTTATTGTTATATGAATAACCACTCCTTGACCTTTATAACAGTGATAATTGTACCAACCTACCCGAACTTGGACCTGTTCCCTCCTGTTTTTCATGGTAGAGTCACCCAGTGTGGATGAGCCGTTTGTTTCTTTAGACAAAGTCTTACTGTATAGTCCATGCCGCCTTGAAACTAACATTTCTTTCTAGCTTAGTAGAAGAAATGTGATTATAGGTGTATGCAAATACGCCTGGCCCAATTCTTACATCACATCATTTAGTTGAACTTTGAACTTTGGTTCCCACCTCTTCTGGTTCTCTACACAGCTACGATCATTCCTTTTCTTCCATATCCCCAGTCTCTCTGAATGGAGTTTGGCTCCACTGACAAATCTCTTCAATCTTTGTTGCCAATTAGCTTGAATGTTTCGTAATTTTGGTTTCTATCCCTACCACATACTCAGTTCGGAGGATATTTGAAAGCTGCCTGACCTCAAAGCTGCCCTTGTCACTGGCTACCACATTGTTTCTGTGATGCTACAGTGTGGTTTTCTCCCACCTCTTTGGCTTCTGGTGTCACCTTTCCCCTTTAGGAGTTTCTCAGTCCTGTATCCTCTGAATCACTGACAATGCTGGTATTCATCTGTTTCTGTACAGATGTTTTCAAAGTATGTTTGGTCCTCATGCAAAGCGTACTTCCTCTCTCTCTCTCTCTCTCTCTCTCTCTCTCTCTCTCTCTCTTTCCCTCCCTCCCTCCCTTCCCCCCCTCTTCCTCTTCACACTGATACACCTTACTTACTACTCCTTGATCAGCTTCATTTACCTAACCCCAGTCATCCTTCTATTTTAGTAGCTATATCAGCCCAGACTGTTTTCTTTGACTCGTTATAACATCCCCACCCATACTCTGCCTTTGAAAATTATATTTACACCTTGATCCTCTTTTCCTAAGATGGCCATGTCTATGAAGTCATGAGCTCAGATGTATCAGTTTCAGTTACAGCTTCTGATTCTTCCTAAAGAAAGTTGACTCTTTTTATTATCACTCTTTTGACTCTGTGCACACTGCTGCAGAAAATGCCATTAGTTAGATTTAAGAAAAAAATGCCATTAGATTTAAGACAACACAAACATATGCTCTTCCAGTTCTTGGGTGAACTAAAATCAGGGTGTCAGGAAGATTGCATTCATTCTGGAGGTTCTCGGTAAGAATCTGTTTTCTCCCCATTTTGAGCTTCTAGGAGCACTTACATTCCTGTGTCCCCATCATATCACCTAGGCCCTGAGCACCTCCCTGCCTCTTACAAGCATCTTTACGATTACAGCGGGTCTACCTGGATGTCCCAGAGTAATCTTCACAGATTCCTAACGTCTGCAGTCTCTTTTACCATGTCAGACAATGTAAGAAAGCACATTCGTGGATAG